TGTTCATATGTCCAGGAATCCAGATGAGGGTGATGCAATCCAACCGATTTAGCAAGTCGATTGCCTCTCTACATTCTTTAACTATTTTTGATTTTGTTGTAAAGGATTTAAGAGCTTTGATTGCTGCTTGATTGTCAATGAAAATGACAAAACTACATGTGTCCTTGATATGACTTGCAATTTGCTGACAAATTACTCTAATTGCTAAAATTTCAGCCTGAAAAGCCGTGGGCTGTTTATGTTTTCAGTTGGCGCAAAGATCTCTGCCCTTGCCATGCAGTTCATTTTCGAGTCATCCGTATAGATGGAGATATCGTAATTTGTTTCAAAATTTTTTCTTTTCCATTTATTTCTTGAAGGGAATAGTTGGAATAATTGCATTAAATATTAAAGAGATTATACTTAAAAATAAAGTCTTTCTTATAATAAAAAAAATTAATATTTTTTTAAATTTCTTTTTATTGAGTTTATTGAATAACCTATTATGGAACGTCGGGTAGCACTTGTATCATGGCGGTGTATATATATAATTAAATATATTTATTTCGTATTATTAATAATTATAATTTCTTATATTTATATTTTCAACGGTTCGACTACCATATGAGATATTGTATGTTATGTATAATATGGATATGATGGTTAAAGTTGTCTCTGAAAATTTAATTAGGCTTTCATATACATATAAACAAAGTTACTACATGGGATTATTATCCGTTTAAACATTTTCACATAATCTATCTGAATTTATATCTCAGGTAATAAATATATCGCTCGAAAATGTAGTGCTTGACTGTATGGGTACATGCCTATAAAAAAAAAAATTTATTAAAAATTTTGATACCTACTCATACTTGAAGTATTGCGTGTACGGCGTTACGTTTTCTTGTTTGAAAATTTTTCATTGTAACATTTTGTAAAATTAAATTTATTTTTGTTTACAATTGTATTTATTCTTTATTTTTCATTATAATTTAATTAAATCAAAAATGTAATAAAGTTAGGAATTTAAAATTTCAATTGTTCAATGACTTGATGTCTTGACACTTTGATCCAAATGTGGAACGAACCATAAATGAGTTTCATATGTTAATGATCTAAATTACGAGTTTATTTTTGTTAATGCCTTTAATTGTATTTTGTTCTAAGTATATTTTTAAACTTTCATATAATTTATGTGTACACATATTTATATACTTATATGTTATACTTGCTGACAAAAGACAACGAAGTATATGTACATATTTTCAAAATTAAATTGATTAATTTTGGTTTAATTATTGTTTGTAGATTTACTTGTCCTAAATTTAAGAATGAAAACATTTTTTTGCCTTAATTTGTAAGATACACACAATAAAAATTTTAATTATTTATAAATACGCATAACTTATAAAATTTGAATATAAATATAAAAATATGCATATCTGATTTTATAAAATAATTTTTATAAAAAATAACAACAAGAAATTATTTGCGAAATCTGACAGACTTACTAACACCGCAATATTAAATCTCAGAATGGTTACAGGTTCGTCGGGGAGGTATGCAGATCTGAGGTCAATTATTGCTTAGTCTGATGAAGTGATAAACAGTAATCCAGTCAGGGCGCAAAGAGGGGTTTTGAAGAAACCTCGCAGTTAATAAAGAGTAAAAGAGCGCAGGTGCACTGACTCAACAAGCCTCAACATAATAATAAAGCAGATACTTATTTCTTTCATCTAATTTACAGCTGGGGCTAGAATTACTATATTTAGTGGATTATTTGAATTATGTTGAGGAGGCTGACTTCCACTGCTGCTGCATAGAAGAGAAAAAAAAATTCAATCATTAGTCCAGGGGTAATTGTGTGTAATACTACTTTTACATTGTGAGATTAAGACAACGAGTTTAAGTTAATCTGTATTTTCAATCTGCACCGTTTACATATACATTGGACATTAACATTATTTTTGACGTTTAATAACAACTTTATATAAAAAAAATTATAATATAAATGTAATAAATAGTTTTATAACAAAAATTTAATAAATTTTAGTTATTATTATGTTGAGGCTAGTTGAGTCAGTGCACCTGAGCACTTTTACTCTCTATTAACTGCGAGGTTTCTTCCAAACCCTTCTTTGCGCCTTGACTAGATTATTGTTTATCACTTCATCAGACTAAGCAATAATTGACCTCAGATCTGTATACCTCCCCGAGGAGCCTGTAACCATTCTGAGATTTGATAACGCGGTGTTAGTAAGTGTGTCAGATTTCGTAAATAATTTCAGGGCTCTACCCTTTATGTATTTTTTGATGGGATCAATCTTGATGTCCCTGAGGATGTCATTCGTCCTAATGTACCATGGAACCTTGAAAAGTCATCTCATATTAAAACATTTGTTAAATTGCACAGAAAAATAATCAGCATTTCTAAGGAGATTTAAAATTAATCTCTACCAAAATGAGATGAACTTTTGTTTGGGAAATCTGTGACTAAACAACTATATTATTACTTTAATCTCGATGATTGCTTTAATCTACTTTTAATCTCACAATGTAAACGCAGTATAGTTCAAGGATTACGAAAGAGAGACTCCACGCAATATTTTCAAGATATTTATTACTTTCAAACTTAGAAGCATTAGGAATGATTAGGTTCTATACGTAACAGAGTGGTCGATCCATATTGAAGTAGGACACCACAAGTGAATAAATACAATTTTGTGTGCAAATTGTTGAGAAGCTCGTAGAAGACTTACTGTGAATCATGACTCACAGAGGATACTCTTGCAAACCCTAAACTCTAAAGAACTAAAGCCGTAGTTCGTAGTATATGTAAGTGTTGCTAGTTTGGTAAGGAATTTCTCATATAGAATAATCACATACTCTCTCAGATGCTTGTTAGCATCGCCAATCTTTGCCAAATTTCTTTGAAAATCAAAGAGGGAAAGGTGGCTTTTCTTCATTTTTCTTTTTGAAGGTTGGACTTACATATGTGGTTGAATTTTAATATGTTTTTAGAATTTGGGTCTAAGCCGGTGTGCTAGCATTCGATCGGGCATATTGGAGAGCGTGTTCTTTGGATATCAGTTTGAGGTTGGCCTCATGTCAAGCTTTACTTACTTCGGAAACGGCGAATTTGTATAGATAAGTATACAAATTATGAAGCCAACTTTCAAGGAAAGGTCGAACTTTGTTATTCCTATTTTTAAATGACAAAGTCAGCTTTAATAACTGACTTTTCGCTCAAAGTCGATTTCCACCAGCAAAGTTCATAACGTAAACCCTGTTTAAGCCTGAATAAAATTCTATGTTATATTCTTTCTATCAATAAAATAAAACGACCAGTGACAAGTGTTGGGCAGAACTACATAAAACTTAAACATTGATGAAAAGTAACGCGATATATAATATATAATGATTTACAACTATAGGATCATCATGTAGTAATTTTTTAAAACTCATTAAATAATTTAATTTTTTATATTATTTGAAATAAATAAATTTGAAATAAGTAATTTACCAATATAAGTTAACATATTCCGATAATTCAATTGCTTCCTTCATCGACGCAATGATTATGTTGACCAAACACTTTTTTCTGCACTGCTCTGTATTCGCTGTCGTTCTTAAAGTTGCTAAGTGTCCAGTTCTAGTTGATATAATTAACTAGTTAGTTAGTTGTGATTCATTTTCTACTCGTGTGGTGTGGATTACAGATTGGTTGAATATTAGTGAACACTTTTTTTGACATTAGTACCCTGTGTTAACAAATCTTATATTATTAATGTTGGATCTCATTGAAGAATGCAGAATGCGGTTTATTCATTCACAAAATTACTCTATAATAACTAATAATAATATTCTCAAAATCAGATTCCCTAGCTTCAATAAACGCAATTAGTAACCCTCTCAACATAAACTACTATGTAACTAGCATAAGAAAAATAATTTCTGTTTAATTTTTCATATAACCTATTGCCCGTTTTTCTAGTCATTGCCTAATAATCAGAAACGAAAAAGTAGACTGTACAGCTAAAGATGCAGTAAAATATTCCCTTGTATACCACCCAAGCTACAACATATCTGACGCTCTTAAGTTCATCAAAAATTTATTTATAGAGATACGTGAATCGATTTGGTACCTCTCGAAACCCCATTATAAAATATTCAACCCTCATAAAAACAACATTTATGATTGCTCAACTGGTGATATACATATCATATGTAAGGAGCTCTCCAAATTTATTCGCCTATGTCTCAGGCATAGTCACCTTACATACAAATATTTTTTTGACAATTCTCTTTCATCCAGTATTGTAACACAGAATCTTCTACGTGAATTATACATATCCTTTTCAGTTGTTCTTACTTCTCCCATTATAGACACAATAATTTTTGTAATACCTAACTCAATATCGAAAACGACAGAGGAAAACATTACAAAAACAATTCACTTTCTCAATTCTCTGTCATATTTATAATGATACATAGAGCTCTATGCTCTATAACAGGATTGTCCAGACCAGATGCGATCGAGGGGAAATAGCAATCACTGTACAGATTCACAGACTGTAAAAATCTATATTCTCTGCAAAAATCTATAATGAATTTTTTAATGTTGTTATGGTATCTCTTGTAATCATTATTGGCATTGGTGAACACAACTATAAAGCAGTAAAAGTGCTTAATTATACTAATTATTTAATCAAAATGACATAATTAAGTATGCTACAACTCATCACTCATCAACTCATATGCTTCAACTCATCGCAGTAGCTTTATTAATGAAACGAAATATCGCTATTGTAATGAATCAGATCTTAAGAGGAAATGATCAGTTAATGATGCACTTAATAAAAACCGCTTAGTGCCGTTAATGGACTGATTGGATGATTGAGTTCAACTTCTTTAAAATGCTTCCTGGAGTGGTTTTTGATTTCTTGTCTTTTGTGTATAAATTTTGTTTGTGATATTCTTTACCACTTATTTTGTAATTAAATAGTATATATTCTGAAATTTATAAAATATATGTCTCATAAGGATGTAAATATTTTCGATATACTGTTGATTTTTTATTAAATTCAAGTATTTATAATTTTAATGTTTCATCCAGCAATTTGTTCAACCATATATTAATAATCATGACTTTGAGATATTTTCCAGATTTTCTTTTTTTGGTAAGCGTACTATTTTCGAATCCGTAATTTTGTTTCTAATGATACTAAGACTGGATTTATTTAATTCTATTAAATCTGAAATATTAATACATTTTTATCAATGAATATCTTACCTGGTTGCCCATTGTTGATTAAATTTACTTTCTATTGACTTTTTCGGATTTTGTACCCTAGATTTCTGAGAAGTCAGATATAACGTACATATTCAAAAAATTATAGTTAACTTACTATATGTTTTATCCTTATAATTGAGAAGTTTATTGTAATTGTTTTTTTCTTTTAAGTTTATCTAAATATGCAAAATGTTTGTTATAAATAATTTTGATTACTTATCATGAATTAAAAGTATCATTACCCAACTTCTTTCTTTTAATTTTAATTTTTTTTTTATTTGTTAACGGCGGTACCTCATTTTGCATAGGTTTGGTCTCTAAAGTCTTGAAATATTTTAAATTATAATTTAATTTACATGCTAAGTCAATATCAACTTACGGGTCCTGTATTTGTGCAATTTTCTATATAAAAGTAAAATTTATAAAATATAATAAATAAACTGATACAGCCAATGAATTCCAAAATGGGTGAATCGTCATCCTCTTTACGCAAGTATTTTGATTCCAATACTAATTTTGAGAGAAACTCTACAAATTTTCCCATCTACAAAATTTAATTAATTAAATAAAGATAAAATAAGTTTGAATTTCATAGGCTTTTAATAATTATAAAAAATTTTCATATAAAATTACAAATAAATAATATATTTATAATAGTATCTCAATTACTTTTTGAGTTCTTGAAGTTATGAGAACTATTTCTGAATAATATTATAAATTTATGAATTGAATATACATTGAATTAGTTGTGAACAGTTAACTAGTTCAATTTACTCGGTTGGTAACTGTAATCTTCAACTAATTAACATAATTTTTACAATATTTAGTAATGATGAATCTAAGAGATATATTGAACAGTGTCTTAAGTTTTCAGAGTTTCAGAATTTTATAAAAAATAAAAATAATAGTGCCCAATCTGAATTGCGTTATTATAAAATCCTGATTCAAAAATATAAGACAGGTATTTGAGTATTCAAATATACAAAAAAGGGCGATCAGTCTGAAAGAGTTTGGGTTCTTAATAGCACTTTACACCACTGGACTTATGTGAAACTGATGAAATTTTACAATAAAACCGCAGCAGAAAATAGCACGAACCATAAACGACTTTCTATCATTTTTAGTGCTGTAGTAAGATTAACTTAATCCCAGTACATTAATCTAACCCAACCCATAGAATGCACGTCGTGTTGTGCTTAAAAACAAACAAAAATTATTCAAAAGATATTAGATTTTATAAAGGTAAATGGAGTAGACGGAGACGGAGACGGAAGGAGTGGAATCTCTGCATGTTTAAAGAATGAAAAATTGCAATGATAGAATAACCAACAACCGCGAGATTACCCGGTCGACCGCCGAAGAGATAGCATGTAGGTATGCTGGACGTTTGGCTCTACAGAAACATAATTTCACATTAATATATCAAATTCAATTTTTGTAATAAAACAGGATTTAATATTATAATAAAGAAGAAGAACATGATGAAGGTAACGAAGTACTAATAGGGGTCGCTATGATGATACGTTGCCCCTATCGCCATTGAGTAAAGGTGTGGCCTGATGTTAGTGTATTCCGATGATCTCTTATGTTTTTAATTATTTGGACGTTATCTCTGTCGATGTGGTGATTTTCCGTTATTTTATGTGTGGCGATATTTGATTTGATGTGAGGATTTATTTTTTTCGGTGCTTCTCTTGCTTCCTTTAGGTGTTCTTCAAACCTTTAATTGTTTAAAAGTTTTTAATAGATTCTATATTTCATCATCAGGATACGAACTAAATGATAACCATTAATTATTATTATTATTTATTAGTTCTTATCCTGATGATGACTCTCAAGTAGAGTCGAAATATTGAATATATTAAAAAATATTAAACAAACGTTTTATTTAAAAAAAGGTGATTCATAAGCGGATACAAAATACATACATATGTAAACATTATTAAAAATCATTAAACATTAAAAAAATCAGGTCAAGGAACAAATTCAAAATTTAATAGTTAAAACCTTATAGTTGCAATTGTAAGAAAATATTAAGATAAAATCTAAACAGTTGGAATCGTCAATAATTCTTCGCCAAGGGTGGTGACACATAATTAGAGCCAAATGAATGGTATGCTTATTTATTGATAAATTAGCTGCGGTGGTTCCCCTTATTTATAATCTTATATAAAATTGATAATATCAGTGGTAAGGTAAGTACCACATATAAAGTTCACTTATTGTAATGGAAAACCAAAATCATTTGTGAGATTAAACAGAATTAATTACTTGTCTTTATATGGATAACGATTTGATTAAGTTATTAATATTCATGAATTTAAGTAGAAAATCATTTCAAAAATATAATTGCATGTTTAATGTTTAATTTGTTTTTTTTTTAGCTTTTTTAATGCAAAATAAACATACACCATAAACATTATTATTGTATGTATTTCATAAATAAATAAACCGACTCACCGTTTCAACAAATTCACTTATATAGAACTATCTTTAAACTGAACTTTTAATTAAAGCAAATATAATTTTTGTCAAAATTTAATCAAAAGTGAACAATACTAAAATTCAGTTAAACAAAAAAAAATATTTTCATTTGACTAGACTATTTAAAATTTTTATAAATAGTTACGCATACTTGATGAAATTATAAAAATAACGATATAGTTATTTAATCGATTAATCGATAACCGATGTGTCAAACTGATTGGAAAAAAATTATTATAATATTATTGAATGTTTTTCTTATTTTTAATTGCATTTCTCTCTTGATTATATTGATGGTTCTCATCATAATGTATGGTATGACAGAGGAAACCATTTACAACATTAACCGATATAATTAAGATAGAAGAAAAGTCAAGGTTAAGTCTGAAAACTGATTTAAGTATGACTGAATATAGCAAAGTTTTATCAACTAAGACATGACTTATGTTAAGTTAGTATTGATATATGTTTCATAAAAGCCTAAGGTTACTTATTTACTAAGTTGGCCATTATAGGTGTGTGTCGTATTTAGTCGCGTTCAGTAGTCTTAACCAACCAGCTCGCTAAGTCGCTTGTTGTCGACACGTAGCTGTCCCACTGCATATGCGGTAGTTCTCCACTGCGTTTTTTACCAGGGGGTACCAAATTAAACGTTTTAAAGTTGAAGCATTTTTTTCCATTCAAGACAGCAAAGTCGTTGAATTTATAATATAAGGTGTATTCTTTTGACATGAATGCTCTGTAAGAACACGTGTCGCTTAAAAACTAACATGCAAAGGAAAAACAAAATTCGCAGACATAAGCCCACATTCCATAAAATGTCTTAACAAATATGCCACTCGCACTATTGTCTTGCTAAAAACCTATCTATTGTAAATGATTTTTAGAAGAAAATAGACAATTCCAGTCAAATGGAGAAGTTTGTTTATTATTATTAATTGTTAATAAGTAAATTTAAATATTTTAAAAAAGTGTCTTTTTATTAAAATTTGTTAAGATAACTGACAGTTTAGTAATTATTTAGAAATCATCTGTTTATTATTTATTAAGGAATTTATAATCAATAATTTCAAATATTTGGTTAATACGCCGTTCTCTTTGTATCCTTTTTATTTCGCTATTGTTTTTCGTAATCATTGATAACTTATCATGGATAAAGACTGAATAAAATGTGTACTTTTATATAAATTCAAACACAATTAAAAATGCTCACCAATAACTATTTTGTGTCATTCGCTTTATATATACTTGCATAAAAATTTTTTTTTCTAAAATTATCTTTAAATATTTTTGTAATTAAATATATTTATCAACCACAAACTTGTTTAAAATTAAAATGAAGCCAAATTATTCTTAAGCACCTAGAAGTTGTTCTATTGAAGCATTCATGTCAAAAGAATGCACCTATAGTCGCTTAACTATGTCAATGTCGCGGTGAGTTCGTACAGCTAACCTTTTTATGAAAGTGGATACCCCCTGCCAACGCGTTAGGAAGCAAAGAATTTAATGCCTTTTCATTACTAGTATAGGCATACTGGGAGACTTGCAGATTTTGATTTTTGTTTTGCAAGAGAGTGCTTTATTTTTTAATTGCCTTATAGTATATTGGAATATTATATGTGATGATATTTTGCTTGTACAATGGGTAATAAGAATAATCAGAAATTTAATAGGCTCATGGTATATGCATTATAGTAGTGGATAAAAAAACTATTAAATGCAGCAATAAATTGTAGTAATTGAATCTACTTAATAAGGAATTGGTTATTGATATGGAACTAAAAGCCAGAAGAACACAAACCCGATAAAATTCTGGAAATCGGCTATTTAAGTGCAACTGGATTATAGGATGAACTTTAAAGAACATCTTCAGTATTTAAGTGAAATAAAAGCAAAAGAGTCCGTGACATTGAAAACATACATATGAAAATATGTGTAAATATGTTCGCAACTCTGATATTATAATAACAAAATAGAAAACGAAGGAGATGTTCTTTCTGAATATACAAGATCTATAATTACAAGAAGCAAAATTGAACAAATCTTGTAAAAGAAGATTAAACTACATGGATTAATCAATCACATGGTATGCTCTCAAATAAATTGGGGAACTAATTTTAATAACAAATACCGATGAAACTAATTAATAATTATGACTCTCCATATATCACAGATATATCTGACGATGAATACAAGAATATTACTTTTATAATTGGGCGTTTATTAAAGATAGAAAGTCATATTCAAAAATCATATTAGAAACCTACTGTTGAAACAACTGTTACTAATATGTTCGAGTGTATTTCGAAAACACGGAAACCAGTTTACTTCCAAAGATAATTGTAAGAATTACTTTTGTGAATTTCGAGTCTCTAACCGGATCTCAATTGTGTGAGGTTATTTGGTGTCTGAGTTCACTGATAAAAAAGTAGTAGGCTCTTCATTTATTAATGACCGAATGTCTTCATAAGTGCCATTAGTGGTTAAGATTGTGTTTAGTGAAGAAAGGGTAAAAATTAGATATTAGTTAAAAATATTTAAAAATTTTTGTTTCTTGCAGAATATGTACATAACTAAGCTTTCGATAAGGAGAGCCGTATCTATATCTATTGGTCTGCTGTATCAAAGTTGTTTCATGTTTCTTTTGAGCGTATGAAATTGGTGTGGGTCTTATTATAAGCCACGCAGCCATAGAACTAGGTTTGAGCTTATGAATATTTAAAAAGTGGTTATTTTCTAAAAATGAGAAATAGAGCTCGAAAATTTTCTTCATATATAGTATATGTAAATGTAACTTAAAATTTTTATATAATATTACGAATCAACTTAATTTAATGTTTCGATTTGATGTGGAATTAGAGAAAAGAATAAAATAATTCATTAAATAAAGTATTCTGCCGGACTTGATTGTTTTTTTTTTTTTTTTTTTTTTGGACTTGATTGTTCCGGTCGTCAATCTTTTTAAGTAAATCCAAGTTATAATTAAAATTATATTTATTATTTCTATTTTTGAAACAGGAAGTTCATATGCATGCAAATCAATTTTCACAAAATTTTATCACAATTTATTGCATTTAATAATATTAACAAAAGTAAAAATAAAAAGCTAAAAAAACACTGTGGACGTCACTCGTTCCCACGTTCCCGCGTTCCTGTGTTTATTTTCGTATAAAGTAAAAAATATCAAATATTTGTAATTATTTTATTATGTGGAACCGGTCAACTACATCCAATCATCCAATGGTTTGACCAAATAAACCGAAAACTTGAATCGCTTAAGCGTAAATTCAATTTATAAATTTTAAAATAATGAGTTATTAAGTGAACTATTTTATTAAGGTAAATTATTGCCAATAACTCATGTGATGTATTTTCACCGCTTACATATATATATTTTTTTTACAGTTAAATACTTCTTGCATTAAAATCTAATACTGTAGATACTATATCGAATTTTATAAATGAGACTTTTATGTGAGAGCTTTTCTATAGCTTTTCTATGCGCTTAATTTTACCTATTTGATGTGGGACTAAGATCCCGTTTCCAAGGTAGTCAAGACTACGTCTTGCCCTCGCTGGGCAGTTGCATAGAATATGCAACTTCTGTAATTCAAAGCGAACATTCTTGATGCGTTTGTTTTTTATAATAGAATTACGAATGTAAAAATATGCTCGATCATTATTAAGCGAATTGGTTAAAACGGATTAGAGCGTTAAAGCGAATTGGTTACTCTCGGATTACTAAACCTAAAATCTACTGTACATAAAAGATTGAGTATTTCTTCATAGGGATTAAAAAGTTATCGAATTATCTGAAAATCGAAGAAGCACAATAAGTGCTTTGGTTAGTCTTACTTAAAAAATTAAAAGTGACAAAAAAAATTTTGTGGGTTGAAAGTTTGTGGGTAATTGTGAAAAACCACTATTAGTCATGGTTTCTAATTTAACAGGCAATAGTTTAAAACCTGGCACTTGCAGTCCAAACAAATTGAATACGGACTACAAACTAATTTAAAAAAATTCGAATATTTCCTAAGACCACTGATGATGAGTACTTGGCAATACTTGTAACAGCGTTGTATGGTCAGCCAAATTTCAACAAATGAACTAAAATTTTTGTTGTCTTTTCATTTCTATTTAAACTAACTTTTAAATAGTTTCTTTTCGTAGTAAGACGCGCCACTTTGGGTAAAAAAAAATTAACATTAAAAAATTACAATTATAGGATCTTCGAACAATAATATTGTTCAGCATTTCCCAATTGCGATTAGCGAACATGTAGAGCAGGGCTGTCCAAAGCACGGCCCTCGGCTAATGTTTGTGCCGCCCACAATATGTTTTTAATTTACTACAATTACGCAGATTTGCTTTTGGTGTACTTGTAAAACTATATTATTTTATTTTTATTGTATACCAAATAAATAAATTTAACATTATGACCGTATTTTTATTTTTGTCGAAACATCTATAAGTGTATATGGGTCATTCTTTTACAAATCGGACACCATTTTGATCTCATGACCTCCGATTTGCCTGAAATTTTTTTATGAGCTCCTTTCAGAAAGTAAGAAGACCCGTATCTCGGGTTTTATGTTTAATTTAATATACATTTATTTTAGAAATAAAAAGTAAACAATTTCGTGTCGTTCTTCTTGGAAAAATGATTTAATGGTATTACGGTGCGTATGAGTAACGTGAAAGACACCTGATAAATAAATTTTTTTTAATGACTTCTTAAGGCAATGCCACAAAAACTAAACATTTTTGTAACATATTCCTCTTTTTTTTTACTGGAAAATCGTGTGTATATGTATACAGTGATGTGAAGGATAAATTAATTCTTTAGAAGTACTTCTAAGGATAATATCCTCCTAAAGTTTTTAAGTTTTATGTAGAATTTTATTACTAATCGAAATAAAAAATATTGTGTAAGAATATTTGTAGAATATTCTTTGAAAATTCATTCAATGGAAATGTAGTACGGCTGTGTCTGATGTGTTTTGCGGGAGAAAAAAAAATATTAAAAAATTTAAAAAAGTAACGGGTTCTTGAAAATTTTTTATTTCGT